CACAGGTTCCGGGTGAGCCCTGGGCCTTCTGAGGTCCACCACCATCTCCTTGGTCTTGGTGGTGTTGAGGCGCAGGTGGTTGGAGTCACACTATTCTCAACAAGAATATACGCAAAATACTGATATTCTGGTGAAATTGCCTAACGATATCAGCCATGCATATCAGTCAAGCTCCACTGAAGCAGCTGATGAGAAAATAGTTTTAGCACTTTTCACTTTGATTTAACTGTTCAGGTAACTGGATAAATTAGTTTTGTTTGAACTGTAAATCTATGTTGTAGGGTTTTTGCTGGGATTTTGTTTGTACTGTGGCAGCTCTCTAAAGCAACAGATGACAATGTCACTGATGCAGATACAAATGCAGATCACAATATTGTAGCCAGACAGCAGAACTTAAATAACTTCATACATGTGGGAAGTGCCTTACAATGTGCAAAGTATACTTGTCCTCCACAAAATACAAATCAGCCACTGAATGTCTTTCCCCAGTGTAGACCATGGCTTCAAAACTTCTCCAAGAATTATGAAGGATTACTATTATTACAGTGATTTACATAGTTATGCTTAAACCTCAGACAGCTTGCTATACACAAACATGCCCTTCGCAAATCTGAAGTTTTCACATTTCTGTTTTTTTTTCCCGTAAATGGCAGATTGTCCATGTTGGCCATGTTTAGGACTTAACAGCTACACTTAGCCTACAAATTGCGCACAAGTCTGAAAAGAGATACGTATGGCTATTAACTATAATAATAATGATGCAAGGAAAGTTGGGCTACATAATTATACAGAAGCTCTTAGGAATCCATAAGTCTACTGCAGCTTCAGAATCAGAATCAGAAATACTTTAATAATCCCAGGGGGAAATTATTTTCGTTACAGCTTAATGGTAGATAACAGAAATCAGGAGGTAAATGTAATTTTGAGAAATTTAAAGAGTAACTTCACCTTCACGCTGTCACTGTGAGCATCAACTACTTCAGTCACATCGGAGACAAACATAAAGCTATACAGAAATCATCACTACTACTACTACTACTACTACTACTACGTTGGCTTTGTCATGTTGAAAGTAAAACTAGACCAATGTATCTTGTGGCAGTTCAGAAATGCCAAAAAACTATGTTTTGACAAAGTCCCTTTGCGGACCAGTACTAGGTCTGCTCCCTAATAATAGACTATACTATACCGTTAGTTGACGAGAAGGGTCTTAGTTGACCCACTTTTCATTATTTGAATAGGCATATACTAGCGTCCCTTAGCTACTTAGCTCTATTAGCTGACTTTACCTGAACTGGGAGCTCAAAGGATGGGGGAGGTTGGTTTACACTACTAGCATAGGAGCTTTGGACTCCTGTGCTAAGTGGGTAACAGAACCAGACTCACAGGCTGC